TTTATTCATAAAAATGCAGTTTCAACTGCTTTTTATTTTATAAAATCCGTCTTCTTGCGCCACCAGAGGGCATTTTAAACAATAGGTAGTCTGTTAGGGTTGGTCAGTAGTAGTCCAAATTCAATACGAACGTTTGTTTCTTGAAAATTTGATCACGGTTTAAATACAGTATTTACTTTTAATATTACCGATATGTCATCGAAAATAAAACGTGTTGTTTTATCATTAAAAGAAAAATTAAAGTATTTGTTTCGATTATCCGGATTTTCCCTTATCCGGACTACCTTCATCCCCAATTAGTCCGGATAATCGAGGTTCTACTGTATATAAAGATTATGTGCAATATCAATATAGATCTGTGCAATTATGATTAAATATATCCTGAAGACTCAAAATCATTTCGTGTTGTAAATGACGAGGAATGAAGATGAATCCGATTTGGACTCGTAAATTATCATTGATTATGACTTTTGGATTATTAGTCTTAGCTCCCGTTCAAATTGATCTGCTCGTAATGACAAAGTTGAAGCTGTTGTCTCACTACAAAATATTATGTAAATTGTTGTTATTAATGGAACAACAAACATAATACAACGAAATGTTAGACTACATAAAACACAATATTCAATGTTAAGAAATATTGTAATGTGAAATTACATTTTTCAATAATATCTTGCTCAATATTATTTTAGAAAATAGATAATAAAAGTTCTTTAAAATAAAAAAAGCGATGCGTGCTATTAGATTCACTGACGATTCTGTAATGTTAATTTCATTAAATTTTTTAATAAGATCAATCAAAAATCAAACTTCGAAGCATAATAAAGAGTAGTGTTTTCAGTTCGGTTATACATATGCAGTTAAACATTATTTCATAGGGATTATTTAGATATAAAATTATATGTTCTTCAACAACTTTCAGACCAAAAGACATTAAAAGTAATAGAGGATTCAGGGAATTCCTTTGATTTCGTGAATAACGTCTATTAATATTGTAATGACATGTGTTGTAGCTTGTTCATAATTACAGCCGTTATTAATACTTGTAGATAAATACAAAATATTAAATTGTATTATTAGTTTTATTCATACGGTGTTTGCTTCCACAACAATAAAATTAATATTAATCAGAGATATGTTAATAATGCGTTGAATACAACTTGTATTCAGCGCGCCGCTGCTTCATTTTGTCAAGACCATCCATATCTAGATGATGAACGTTGTCCTTCGTGGCCTTCTTGAAGGCAGTTTTTCTTTTACTATGATAATTATTATTCATAAAAAGTGAATTCGGAGAAAAATAAATAATTTATTTAAATTTTGTTTCCTATTTATTTGAATGGTGAATATACATAGCGGCTGCAGGAAGTTATTTATTTGATTATAAATTTTGAAAGTCATGTCTTTAAAAGGTATTTTGTACTATGTCCAGGTCTAACTTACAATTTGGAAGAAGTGGATTTTGCTTTATTATAAACAATAAAATATATTAAATATTATAAAACAAATAAAAGTTAATTAAATGTACTTTTTTATGTATAGGTTTCATTGTGTTAACATCAACGTTATTCAGCGGTAAAGTTGGAGTTACGCGATCTGGTTAAAAATGTCACACAATTTCGTACTGCAAATATGCCTAATGATCCTCTAACATACATGTTATTTACGTCAAAAAGTTATGCTGAAGTATATATATACATACATAAATATAAGCATACACTATATATGGACAAATCATCAATATGATATATTTTTTCAAATAAGAATTTTGAAATTCTTTTTAAGAATACTTACATTTATTACCATAAGAGAAAAAACAAAAATCTATTCCTTAGATCAAAGTCCAGTTTTTCATCATTTTGAAAAATATCAAGGAAATAAAAAATGAATTTAAAATTTTAAATGTAAGGTTATTGTATCAAAACTAAGTGGCATGGATGCACTTATTTTTAAATCCTTACTTTTACGTTATTTTATATGACGTTGTCTTCCCTAACAATATTAAGAAACCAAATAGAGTTACAAATGCCTTTTTCTTTCCTGACATATACCTTAAAATATTATTTTTAGAAATAATAGCAGGCCATAATTTACTAGAAAGTGTAAAAGAATCTTTTGAAAGATATTTTTCGGTATGCAATGGAGTTTTAATGATAAAAAAATCGTATATAGAACGATAGAAGTACGACAATCTATAGAAAGAAAGAAGTACGAGCTTCTAAAATATATTCATATTCACATTTCAAATCTTCAATAAATAAGAAACTTATTTTTTTCACCATATTCAAAAATATTTATTTAGTTTTCTTTACAATATTCACTGATATTTGAGAATATTCCAAAAAAATATTTATTTAGCCTATTCGCTACAATAATGCTTCAAATTATAATAGATTTTACTTTATTTATGAAAAAAATTGAATATATCACACATTCGGATGTCACATATTCTTAATTCCGTTTCATTCTATATTTACTGATCGCCTTCTTTTCGTACTTCATTCTCTAACTACGTGAAATGAACTATAGTGATAAAAATTCTGTTCTACATTTTAATGCTATATCAATTGATAGCAAAAGATTGTTCGTATCAACAGATAATATGATACGGAATAAATATAGAAACATTTTAAAATATGAAGTACAAATATAAAATGAATCACAGTGTCATATAAGCTAACTAAAGTTAAAATAAACAAATAATTCTTCAATTTTTCATCTTTTAAAAACAGTTATTTAAAATTATTTTATTTTTCAGGTAATCCTAATTTCGACTTTCGTACTATGGAATAAAACTCATATCTATATTTTTTCATGGTTAACCTTTGTAAAGGAATAAATATAAATAAAATACCTGTAATTCAAAATTTATAAAAAGTATAGAAATTAAATCTGAATTTGTAAAAAATATAAGAACAACATAAATATGAACTGGAAGAAATAAATTACTGATTTAACATTTGTGTGTATAAAAAAATTTCAGTTATAAAGAAAAAAATTAAATTTTAATATATTAAATTTAAAATTCAGAACATCAATATTTAAATAAATTGTTTACTTGAGTGTACAAAGAATTTTGTTCAAGGCTTTTAATAGTGACGTTACTGAATCGAATAACGTAATTGGACGTTACTTCAAGGACGTTAATTCTGTCTATGAATAATGTTTGTACGATATCGATTAGATCTACATTCTCAATAACACGTCTTTATATGGTCTTGTATCGATCACTTAACTACAATTATTCTGAAAACATTTCTATAATTCATCAATCGAATTGATTAGTCAGTTTTATTTTCTTTATTTCTACTAAAACTATGGAACATCTAGTTAATGAAATGTAAAAAGTATTATTTAACATTTCCATTTATTTAAAAGAGAAACAGTGAATACTTTTCTTTATTTTATACTTTATTTGAAATTATAAAAATATTTGAAATATGATGAAAATTTCGTCGGATTTCCATAAAACTATATATAAAACAATGTTTATAATACTTTAAAATAATATTTATAAAAATTTTTGCCATATATGATATTCAGTTGCATAAAAATTTAAATAAATTTAAGATTTAGAATTAGTAAAATGAATTACGTAATTTTAAGATTTATAAATCAATAATTATTAAAGTTTAAGAATTTAAAATTTTTATGGTTTCAAAAATAGAATAATGTTTAAAATGTAAATTATGTATTAAATATGTCTAGAATAAAATAAGGTTCAAAACTAAGATAATTTATAATGTCTTTTAATTTTATTTCAAAACTGTAGATTTATATTTTAATTTTCTTCATCATTTTCAAAGTACAGTGAAAAAGAATTGTTTTCATTTCAAAAGACTAATATAGATATTTAATTAAAATCATTTTAAATGACCGAAAAATTTAAAAATTGATATAAAATTACGCTATAATGCTTTTATACATAAAAATATACTTACACAGATTCACAATTAAGACTTGTGATGGTTTTTCCAACACATACAAGCTCGCATGTTTTTAATTTTTCATTATTTTGAACGGTGAATAAGATTTCTGTCTCTTCCTCTTGATCTTCATCGAAGTAGCCTGTTAAATAAATATATATTTTAAAATTGAACAACAATCTCTTTAAATAAAACACCAAATATTTTATTCAGTATGACATTTATGATAGAAATTATTTCATTAATTATATTTGGATATAAAATTAATCTGTTTAAATTTCTATTCAGAGACATTAATTTAAAAAAAAATATTCTTACAATATTTTCTTTAATCAATATTCAGAGTTCTTATATAGACAAAATTCACACGAATCATTGTTTAAGTATTTATTATCTTAATATAAAATAGATATTTATATTCAAAAACTGAATAGAAGTATGCAAACTAAAATTTCAAATATTTATTTTTCTGTAGCTATATATATTTATTTAATTATTTTATCATATGTAGAATAATATGTTTTGACACGAATAAAGTCAAAAGCCATTGTTTAATATTTTTGCTCTTTTAAAACAAGATTTAAATCAATCGCGTGTGAAGAAAGTTTAACAAATTTAAATATTAAATATTTATATTAAAGTTACTTTAAATGATATTTTCTATATTTTCCTTGTAAATTTTATATTAAAATAAAAGAATCATAATTCCTACGCTATTTTAGTTATTATTCCTATAAGTGGCATTTCATTACATTTAATCGTTGATGTGTAACAGCTAAACTNAAAAAAGAAAAAGTTTTCTTCATCATAAATACACAGAAATTTAGGTGTATATTTATAGATACTATTATATTTTTGACATGAGATTAAAAAAAAATTGTTATAGTATAAATCAAGGATAGCGAAAAAGATGTGCAAAAAGATGAAAAAAATATATACAGTAAATATAAAGAAATTATTTCTATATGAAAATAGAATAGAAAACAACAAGAACCGATTTCAACTTTAAAAATAGAATTCCTGCAATAAAAAATATTAAAAATTGTACAAATAAACATTCCAGATGAATTTGTGGCGAATGAATAGAAAAATAAATATTTGATAATTTTTTCAATAGTAAGTTATATGAAAAATATAATACAATAAGCAGCAAAATATGAAAACTACGCACTACATTTTGATGGAATAAACGAAAAATTATAATTTAATTAAATTCGTACTTTTAAGAAATAAAGATGATATTAAATATAATATTCTAAATTATTTCAAACGTGAAGTCTGAAACGAATATTATCAGTAATTTGACACTAATCGATCCGTGTGTCCGTACAAAAATGTCAATATGAATGTACTGATTTTTATGAAAATTGATATTAGATGTGTACACAGAAATATTTTTAAATTTTAAGCGTTTCTGTACACAGAAAAATCTCGCTAATTCCGACTTCATTAATTCGGAATTCGCGATAATCCGTACCAAGTTACTGTTTTTCATTATGTACTTTTTACAATAATAATTTTCTTAATTGTAATTCGAGTTTTAACAACTATTATCTTACTCATAAATGCATTAAGATATGATCAAGAAACAGTTAGAAAAGAAATGGCAAACAAAAATGAGCTTCTTTTAAAGTCCAAATTAGTAATTATTGGCAACGTCAAGAACGATGCTACTATTACTTTTACATTGTTAAAGTTCATCAAAACACTGGATTTGTTCATTTAAAGTGCACAATAAAATTTAACTTTAGTCAGGTATACTTTTCGAATATACAATACACATTTCAGTAAAAATCTCGCTAATTCGGATTTATACTAATTTGGAGTCATCCTGATTAGTCTGAATTAGTGAGGTTCTACTGTATTAAATAATTGAATAGCAATTTTTGGGCTAAAATTTGAAAAAAAATTGTAGACCTATAACTTCCCACTGTCGTTCGTTGTCTGTCTTTCCTTAATCTCGAGAATGGAGTTACATAGACGAAAGCCAAGACTACACGTGGAAAGCTTAGGGGAAGAAAACACCGATTAACTGTATAAGAACTTCTAATTTGAATTAGAAGTCACGTTATTTCAATTCAAAAATTTTCTTTGAAAGGATTTAGATGACCGGCACGACTCTATTCTACAGGAAAAATATGATTTACAGATTCAACACGCTACTAATTTGAGATAGAAAGCATATATTTTAAATTAAACTAGCAATTATTTTTATGACATCGTCAACAATGACAGGCTACAATTTTTAAATCATATTTTTAAATTTATTTAATTTAAAATATATACTCTGTCACAATATATATTTACTCGTTAGTCTATAAAATACATTTAAGTTTTTAATTTTCAAAAATTAAATTAATTTTTGAAAATTTATTTAATATATTCAATACATCACTAATTTTATAATTTAATTTATAGCAATTATAAGTTATTTAATTAAAATGTTATTTTTTATCCAAATACCTCTTATATTTTCGATCACATCAGATGACTTTTTCGTATAATCAAAGTCTTAAAATCGGTGCCATAAGTTAAATATTTTATTTTTCTGAAATTTTTTAATAAAAGTTGTCAAACGCGAAAAAACTCGATTTTTGTTCAAGGACTTTTATAAGAATAAATAGTACGACTTTAATTATAGTAGAACCTCGATAGTCCGAAGTAATGTGAACTATACTACCTCGGATAACAAAAAAACTCAGACAAAACGGACGGTCGCGGTCATTTCGGATTAAAAATCATGAATATAAAACGGTTTATATTGTAACACTTTTAAGCTCTTTTTATACCTAAGTCATGTATAAGATATTATATATACCTTAGTCATATATTAAGAGCTTAATCATATATAAGAATAACAATTTTTACATGATTTACTATACAGATAATACGAGTACAATACTTTTAATAATAAAAATGTGTATTATTGTAGTTGCATTTTCATATAAATGGTTTGTCTGAAAGTTAAATAATAAAACTTAACAGAAACAAATCATTTTGCAATGCATGCTATCATTTTAAAACCTTCTTTTACGAATTACAATACAAAAAAGTAGAGTATTTACATACATGTTCACCTCGGTTAATGCGAAACCATGGTTAAACAGGACTCAGATAATCGGAGTTCTACTGTATTAACTAAATCAATATAGATCATATTTCAAATTTATTCTGAAGAATAATGGATCCATTTACGAAATAGTTCAACATAAACTCGTAAATTATTTAAAACTTTAAGCAATTTCTTGTAATGTCACAAAATAAGTCCTCAATTACAGTTTATATAACATTTAATTTCTCATTCGATCGTATACAGTAGAGTCCCGAAAACTCGGCCTAATGTGGACCGAAGGGTGGCCGAGTTTGTTAAAATGCCGGGTTATCGGGAATGGGGCTAAAAAAAAAATAAGTAAGAGTGTGGAGTCCTCAGAAAATACTGTACTGTACTTGTATGTATTGTTTGCTTGAGAATATAACAGAGAATAAACTGCCCAAATATCCTTAAACAAAGGAAAAGTGCGTACTTTATGAAGGCATAGAGCCATTACTACACGAAAATGAAAATTAATGAATACACAGTGTACAATAATTTACCTGATAAGACAGGCCTCAGAAAAATACTTAATAAAACATAAATCTGTCTATAATAAAAAGTAACTAGGTGTTTTTTCGCTCTTCCAGGGTTTGGCCGAGTTATCCGGGTTATCGAGTGCCGAGTTTTCGGGACTCTACTGTATATCTAAATGATGCTTTCATCGTATTGTCATTGTCATTATTTGATACTTTTCATATTTCTAAAATATGGAAATACAGTATATAAAATAGATTTTTTAAAATTGTTTAAAATAAAAATAAAAAAAACCGTAAAAAATTTTATCTATCACATCTGAAGGATATATAAATCATCAAAAATCTACATAAGTTTTAAAATTTATTATCTCAAAGCATTTTACGTAAATATAGAGAATTTTAAATGCGTTTAAAAATGTGCCGAATAACGTTTTTAATCAAAATTATTTAGTTGTGTTTAATTATTAGAATGACAATGCATTTGAAAAATAATAGAATAAAAAATATAATTCGACCTCGG